ACCTCTGTCAAAAATTTAGGGGGAACCTTGATTACGATGGCTGAACTAGAGGGAACGAGTACTAACATCGTTGAGAAAGAATATTTTGACGTTGGCGATAGTGGTAGATTTTCTCTCGAGATACTTACAGCCACATAGATGAATAACAATTTTTCCAATCTGTTACGATTTGCATTGTGTTTAATTCTACTTAACCCCATCGAAATTAAATAAATCATCGCGTGTTGGAGTGTTAATAAATTCTGAATGATCCCTGGGTGCTTCTTGATTAATGCTACCAAATAGTTCAATCTGGATTCTCTCTGCTCCGAGACGAAATCATAGATCATTGTGCAGGGGTATGACGTACCCTTTTGTCCAGTTATCATCGAGGACGTCAGCCAGGTCAAGTCCTTCACTCATCTCTTTCTGTTCCCTTTAACGTATCTCTTTTCGTCCGACGAGTTTCGTAGCCCGGCGTGAAACTGCTAATGAATATCGGCCCTAAATATCAGTCCTTGGGGATCCGCGCGAGGGTGGCTACCTACCTACTCGTTGGTGCATATGTCTGTATATTATAGGGGATTACATACCCGGTCGAAATTTACCATGAAACTCCCGATACGTGTGTACGGGCTGCCCCCAGCCCTGATCCTGGTCACGGTCGTTTGTCCCGCGTTAAGTGTTCCCGTCTCTTTTTCACTGTCATTGAAACCATCGTTATCCTTCTCACTCCATCTGTCTCGCTCGCAGTGGAAACTGTGCACGTTGCTGTGTGTACCATATGCCAGCTCCCATCATACGGGAGTCGAGGCGTGCTGCCTTCGAAAAGCCCTCTACTATGAAAATCTAATCGGCCCACGACTTCACGGCTTGATGCTTCTTATTGAGATATAATGGCCCATCGCGAGGCAACAAAGAGTTACGTAATACCCCAGTAAAAGCGTGAAACTGTGTGTATTTATCTTGACAAAAGTATACGATTCAAGTTTAGTAATAGACGAAGTTGCTTAGCCAATGCAGTCGACATTTTGTTAGAATCAGAATTATATGTTGCTGCTTCGTCTAATTGCAACAATTTTAAATAAAAGTACGATAAAAGTGTAAAGAGAACAAAAGAAAATCGTAATATGCATTAATGTCAGAACATTTTCTACTGGCGACAAATTCCTGATTAAGTACAATAATTGACTGGTGACCCGCCGCGAGTAGATAATGATTTTTCGTTCACTGCGTCGCGAGACTACGATGATGATGATGCAGCAAAAGCTTTGTTCCGTATACATAAGATGCATTGAGAAAGGCCGCATCGGTCAGACTGTTTTCGTCTGACAGAATACAACGGCCTTAGCCGTGATCAATGACTTGCGGCGTTTAATTGATTCCCGAGACCTCGAGGATCTATCGATCTTTGCCGGATTTAAATCGTGCAAGTTTCACGCGACGCAAGATTAGATAAGAACACGTCGATTCGAGGAAGCATCAAATGCGCGAACGTGCTCGTAATCCTGTTGACATTATTCCCTCTTATGCAGGCATCGATCGACAAGTATAATTAATAATTTCGACATTTTCGGGGCTTTGCCGATGGATTATTATTCACTTCTGCAAATACGTACATTCGGCAAAGATTTTCTGCTTCCTGTGTTCGCGAACAAAGCTTCTACATTTTGTTTACTCGTCAGTCTTCCATGTTCTTACTGTGTCAAATTAATAAAATGATAATTTGTACTGTCAGAATGCGTAGGATTACAATAATTTTTTTAGAGAAATTGTAGGTAACGAGGGTTGATTAATGCTATTTGGAAATAATGAAACTGTGGGCGAAATCACCGATCGATCCACGCGTGCAAGATTCATCAAGCTCCGGATTAATCGGTTTCAATTAGGCCAATTCTTCCCAATTACGGCCGGGTATCCGTTTTCAGATAGCGAACGACTTACTGTAAAGCGATCGTTCGCCTACCCGCAGGGGTCCATCTGCGCGTTTTCATACGTAAGTAAACGAACGAGTGTTGTTCGACCGGCGCGGCGACGGCGGCGTCTGCCCACATACCAGCGTGTGGCTGTTTTACGAACGGGTATAATATTATATCAACGAAATTATATTGTTCGCCGCGTGACTGCGGACGTGTCTCACGTATCGCTTTCTGTCCACCGCGATAACCATCACCCACATCCGCCAATTGGTAAAGACAATCGCTAATATGTTTTCTCCTCGATTGAAGAGTGAGTCATTCCGTGTCTGCCACGAGGAGACACGAGTGCTACTGCTGCTGATGCTGTATAATACCGGCGAAACAATTGTTCGACGGGACAATCAAGTGTTAAATTCATGGCGCCAGCCACTCGTCCCCTGTATCCGGTTATATTAAACCACTTTATCAAGGTAGATGCGCGATTTCTCCGCCGAAAATATTCTAGTTCTACATGTCGAACTTCATAAAAAATGACCAATTATTATTGGTATCGTTTTGTACATAAGTTTTTATCTGATTATTATTTACACAAAATGTGCACTTACTGTTAGCCGCTAATCATAAGTATCACAGTAATACTTTTATCAATCAACTGGTAAATTACGAACAATTGATGACTCATGTCGAATTTGTATTACATGACGATTTACTCCGGTACTGATTTTAAAAAATGCGTGAGAGGAAGATGTGGAATATGGAAACGGTGCGAATCAATTTAATAAATCCGGTATATTGTACATAGTACGCGATTCGTCGAGAAGGAAACGTGACAGTGTGAGACGTACTTAACGTTCGCCTTGCCGCTCACGGTTGTCCATTTGTGTGCTAACGGATTAAGTTATCTTACAGCCTGTAAATCACGTCCGGCGTATACTTGTGCAAACAAATGTACAGACAGGTTCGGCTGACAAGTATACTATGTTCGTGAAACGACGGAACGATGAATAAGAAAACCGATAAACCGTATCTTGAAACCGATCAGTGTTTAACATGATCTTATATCTACGGAACACGTTTCTCGATAATATAATACATACTTAATATCTAGAATTCTTGTTTCCCGTTAGCAAAAGTTGTCAAACGGTTTTTCTAATCTAACAAGAAGTACTCCAATTTCATTTTGTATTGCAAAATTTTTAAGAGGACTGGTTTTATGAGATTAATGTTAGGGAAAAGATTCCTGTTTCACTTATGGCGAGGGATCTGAGCCTCATTTTTATTGCTTGATCTTTCTTTCTAAGGAAACTGCTTTCACGTGACTGTGTCGCCGCACGAGAGTTTTCCTATTTCCTCGATATAAAAGAGTAACCAATTTTCTCGGCGAAGAGAGGTCGAGTCCGGGAGTACCCTCGGGAAGATGTACGCACCGCGGCGAGATGCGAGTGAGTGAGTATGATTGATGCGATTTGTCGGTCTCTCCTCACTCGCGCAATGAACGACTGCTTCCGACACCTCCTTCTTCTATCATATTCGCGAAGGAACAAACATTTTACAATGATTCAGTCAAGAGAATTCCTGAATAGAAATTGTACATACTTTATGACAACGATGCATCGTCAGTTATTTAAAATAAATCTCAATGGAGCACCAAACATCAGTTGTATTATACTACTTTATAATTTAGTTTTGAAGTACAGAACATCAGGTATGTTTATTCTGTCCCTGAGCGCGATTTACTGAGATAAGTTTCCGTGGCGGAAAAAATTTTCTTTAATAGATAATCTGTTCTACAAGCAGAGTGCAATAAAAGATGAACGTCGTAATCACTTAAGCTATACCGTAATGGAATCGCATTCGACGGATGAGTCTTGTCGCTCGATTCAATTTGTCCGAGAAGCACAATGCGTGATACGACATAAATTTTGATAAAGAAATATGCAGCCAAGCTTTGCAACGAGTTTCGAAGAAAATAAATGATTTATTAACCAAAAATGGAACTGCGTACAATTTTTAATTCCTTTCCACGAAAAAATCAAATTCTTCAAACCCTGATAGCACCGATAATCTGTATTTTTTATATCGATACACCTGAAAAATTAATACTGTATGATTGATGAAACCGTACGACGTAGTATTTTAGTTCGCGTACTTCGAGACATTTTAACACAACAAGGAAGCCTAAAATTGGGAGTTTAATGCACCGTGTGCTTATGATCTATAAAAACGTAGCTGTAAGTATAAACTTCTCCTATTTTAATAAAAAGATTTGCAGAAATAATGAATGAGACTCGAAATCTGTTCCAATTTTTAACAGTCATTAGCCCTTATTGCGTTAGCTATACAAACAGCAGCCTTGCAAGTTTCCTGAGACTACCTGCTGCCTTTGACGTCTGCTATGTGAGTCTCGCACGTCGGCGGACTTTAGTAAGTACAAATAGGGAGTATATGGGAATCGTAGGAGGAAACGGAGTTTGTGCATTTACTTCCAGGCGTGTAGGAGCAGCGCGCACAAATATCAATCAGTGGAGTCAAGAGTGGAATCAGGGTGGCCGAGTGGTTCCACATAATGCTGCAACCTGCAACCGGAGGTGAGAGGAGCGTTGCACACCGTGTCTCGTGTCCATTCGTCGTTGTCTCTCTGTGTATGTACACGTGGAAGCGAATACCTGCAAACTGGTCCACGTAGGTAACCGCATACGGAGCAGCGTCATCCACACGAGCGTCGGTAAAACGAATAAACATATCCACCCGCGGTGATACCTACGCACTCACACTGACACACCCAACGGAAGTTCGCGTGTGCTGGTGGCTGGTATTGCTTGGTAGCGCGCGGTAGCGTCGGCTCCGGCGTGTTTCGTGGTATCCAAAGCGTGCGTCGGTGTGCGTAATCAAGGGCCTTGGTGAGTGGTTTCGTGGGGGTGGAGTAGGGACGAAGAAGGCGTGCCACGTAGAGGCGGAGCTTCCATCGAAAATCCCAGTATGTATCCAACATCTGTGTGGGTGTTCCGGCTTGCAGTCTCTCTCTTTCCATCCGCGAGCGGATGATCGGGTACGTGTGCGTTCTCTCCCCTCTCTTTCTCTCAGTCTAACCCGCGACTTTCGTCCGTCATCGCATGGGAGTTCCTCCACTATCAGACCCGTTAACAGCAGTCGGCGTCGAGGCACCCGCTATAACGTCTCTCACATCCCCGGGTGCCGGTGCTCGCCCGTTCCTGACCTGTCCGGCCGATGGGCCGCACGGAAATCAGTGTTTCTAAAAGCCGGAAGCTTGTTCCACATCGATACGTGCATCATCATCCAGCGTACTCTGTCCACGAGGCGGTCGCGACATCGATTCCGACGTCAGTTGTCAAAACGATAGACGAATTTGGACATAAGACATCGAGGGTGATTCCAGTGAGACACTTCTTGGCAGGATCGCCGAAGAATCTTTTGAGATTTACAAGGAAAGGGTTGATCTTCGGCAAAGATTTCTGAGGAAGACAGTGTCGGTGAAAGGGATTATTTGAACGACCAGCAGACAGCGTGTATTTGTAGTTTGTTCCTGTATAATCAGAGAAAATTTTAAGGGTGAATGGTTCGCCGGCACTGCGGTGGTGCGAAACACGCTCCTTGAACGAGGGGGCGAATGTCGTGTACAGTGAAAAAAGGATTGTTGTAAGAGAAAAGTGATCGAACCGTTAGAGCAGGATGATGGAAGTGCAGCAGCAGCACTCGCCTGTAGGGGTGGGTCCTCTGGACTTCTCGCGCAGGGGTGTCGCGGAAGCATCGGCGTTCCGGGTCGTCAAGCCAAAACAGTCGGCCTCGTCGTTGGTACATCAACAAGCGTTGTCACCGGAGACGAATAACAACGAGAACCCTCAAGAGAACTCACAGATTCCCGTTGAAGGCGAAGGTAGGATATTTATTAATGAACAGACCGTGAATATCTATGGGATAAGATAACATTAGAGAATCTTTAGTTTGGGTATTAGAAATTGCAGAGATTAATAAAAAAAGAGATTAATAAAAAAAGAATGGTTTGCACATATCAGGTCTAGTAATGATTAATGTCGTTTTCCAATACATAAACCAACACTAAAAAACGACACTAATTATTACTAAACCTAATAGAATGAAATTCACGATTAATGCATCATCACCGAAATGAACGTGTGATACAGAATGATTGATAACAAATCGCAGTTGCATCAGAGTTCAACCCTGTCAAATTGCCGTCTCCATTTCTACTATCTAATGACACATTAACTACGATACTCATGCTATCTGTCAACCTCTATGACCGACCACAAAGCGTACAATCAGTATTGATTTCAAACACGAATTTAATTTTAATCCACAGACTCATGAATGATCGCCAAGTATACCAAATTACGTTTAGATTAACATCTTTATTGAACCACTGTGTTAGCGAAACGAAAAGAATTCCTAGTAATAGGTTCCAATTATTTGTCAAACGTGAAACGTGCGAATCGACAGCGAAATTATATTCCCCTCATCTATTCGCGTCCAACTCTCCGATCGTTTCTGCATCCCTCTCGCGGATTCGCGTCTCACCCCTGACATTTATCCCGTTGTCGTCTGTCATCATGCTATCTATTACCCGCCTATTATCACTGCACCGCGCCGTTTACGCCCCAGAATCCGAGCCAACACCTGAACCAGACTCCCCGCGCGTATTCACGCTCGTGCAAGCTCACGTGCGTGTACGCATGAGCCAAACCTGCATGTAACACCGATCCAGACATCAATCCCTTCGCGTGTATACGCTTTTCGCGTGCACGCGATGGAATCTCTGTGTAAGGGTTTTGAGCGTGTGCGTGGCTGCGTGCAGGTGCGTAAAGGAGAAACTAGAACGGTCGTTCAACAGGTGAGAGGGGAATGGACAAGCATTAGACGGCTGCCTATACTAATACTGCTAATCGAGCTAATAACTAACGCAATAATATCAAGCCGGTAGCATGTAGAGGCCGGTCTAAACGGTTTACGCGGTAATTGCCAGGTGATGGGCAGGAGAAGGTTTCATCTTATTGAGGGGTAGCGCGGTTCGCATGTCGCTTTCAAAATAGGCTTTGATGGGGTACTTTGCGGTGACGAAGGTTGCGACGGTTCGATTCATGAATTTCCGGGATTGTCTTCGGGGCAATTAAAACGGGGCTGTCATTTTAATTGATCAGATATTAAGTTAGCTTTAAAATAGTAATTTTATCAACATTTCACTGCACTTAGCGTTTGATAAGGAGATCGTTTGATTGATTATTATAGTGCTTTATCTCTTGAAATAACGTATTTAACAGTTCTCGAGATGTCAATTACATTTTATCTAAACAAAAATCTGTGTACTCACATTGGATAGGGAGTTTCCAAGCAGGTGTCCCCGGCTACTCGCCCTATGATTTTCCTTTGGAAATCACGCTACAGGATTTATCGTTTATAGATTTACGAGCGAGCGAGCGATAGTGGCGAAAGAGGCAACACATAGGATAAGCGTACGCACAAACCGGTGCTCTGATATCGCCGATGTTACACAGGCAACAACATGTATTTAGCTGCACGTTACATTGTGTACACACCCAATATCGATGTTGGTTGTACACCTAGCCGTGCGGTCATCTTATCTCGACCGCGTGGTGTGCTCGCTTTATAGGAAAATATGATTTATTTCTGATAATCCTGCGAGAATGAGATAGCCTTTGCGGTGTGGCGCGCTAATCTCTGGCCGCTATCTCAGATTATCCCCGACCCAGGTACTATATTGCCGGGATTACGGATTTCATTCCCTCTTTCTTGCTGCTTTTTTCTTTCATTTTTCTTTTTTCATTGAAACTCCTTGATACGTGTACATACGTACGTACGTACGATGTCGACGATCGATTTTAATTGTCCCGCGGCAAAGAATGATTCCGTGAAACGCAATAACAGAATCCCTTCCCGATAAGCTCGCTTGATTGTGGGGAACAACGTTACAGCTCCGCGTATCTTACAGGATTCTCTTTTGCTTCTCTTCCTGTCTAACGCGCCGGGATAAAATGCAAATACATCAGACTGTGTAGTTCTAATGGAATTCTGGACTATCGTAATAGTTAAAGTTTAGACGTATTTCAGTTAACTCGGTTAGTTGTCATCAATATTGGGAATTGTAAATAACACGAGCGGAAACTATTTTGGCAAACAGCACTCTCGAAGGCAACATGCCAAGGTAACGGTCGGGATCAGCTCGTAGATGAAGACGAATTCCCGATCGCCGCGCACTCTGATTCGATCTATTCGTTCATAACGCAAGATTGTCGTGGCCGGTGCAAAGTTCGAATTCCATCGCGCTACCGGTGTCGATCAAAGAGGCCGGGGGAAAACGAATGGCGGATAGAATGGTCCGCGGATAGGAATGCATCCACGGAGAAAGAGGAAAGGAGCGAGTAATGGTTGGGGCAAGGTTGATAAATAGAGAAGGGTCTCCCTCCTTTCTAATAAAGACGCTCTTGTCGAGGGGTTGATCTTTCGTACGAACGGGGAATACCAAATTTGTCAGCTCCTGGAGATCGCCGTGTCTCTGTTCTGCGCCGTTTAGCGGCTGGTTCGGGTGACGCGAATAATGATGCATGAACGATTCAAAAATATGCCCGATCTTTATACTTCTTGGACCACCATATTTTCGTCAGGGATTTCATGCTACATTGAATCGCGCTCTGTTCGTAATCGCGGTTATATTTCATTGCGATCCATCTTTTGGTTTCAGGAGGATGCAACGTACGCTTAATGTTCCCGAGACTATGGGCCCCGTTCGGAAACGCTACTGAAGTCACGAATCTGCCACCTTTGCCTAAAAGTCATTCAGGTATGTACAATTCCATCGACTCCGTAGGTTACTTAAGAACTAAGTATTTTAATCGATGACAGATTAAACATTGTAAAAGCTACCTGATCGATTTTAGGGTAATTAGTACGTATCGTGCGGTATAAGATAAAAGATAAGGAGTTTAAAGCTCCTCGATGTCGCAACGCTTTCGTAAAGCCGCAGGGGCAATAAATCGTATTGATTAACGTTTTTTGAATTAAACACGTTAGTCAGAAGTGCATCATAATTGTCCCGGACTAAATCATAGGTATTAGCCAAAGAATAAAATAAATGATAAGAAAATAATCTGATAGGGAAAAGGTGGAAAGTTTTTTAATTAAAATATTGAGAAATACATTTAAAATTGTGATGCCAAATAAAATTGAGGACAGGAAATGAAAAATTTGTTCAACTTAATCGTGTTTTAATGCGTCAAAGAGGAGACACCGAAGAAGGTGTAGATGGACGGCCTGCGTTCGTCTTCTTCCTCAACCCGGATGACGAGTAAAGTTTTTATTTGCCGATCGTTAAGAACGACCGGTCGTCCGATGATTGGGATAAATGGTAGCACGCGTCATACCGCGGAGGGACATCGGCCCTTCTAACTCCTGTCGTCCCAATTGGAGCAGATTAGAGGCGCAGTACAGGGATTCGGGCCGTCGGCCCCTTTGTGCTCGTACCGACGCGCGACGGTCGGCCTCCTCAGTTCTACCTACCCTGAATTAGTTACATCTTGTCATGTTAAACGCTCGCGCATATAGCTTCTCCTTCTTGATGCACGTGGCCATTCATTACTGGCTGCGTCCACCTAGACAATCTTGAGGATGCACTTCTCGAAGTCGTTCTTTTTACCCGAGGTCTACAATTAACTCATTAAAAAAAGTGCAACCTCTAAATAATGCCAAATCAATTAAATGCACTTTGCTCCGTGTTTACATTATACTCTCGAATTATCGTTGGTCTTGATCGAAAATTACTTGTCGTTTATAAAAATTCGACGAAATCTTTGTAATCCTTTTGAAATCTTAAGAAATTAAGTGTTTGCCTGCATATCTCGCACGGCTTAAAGTTAGTCAATCATAGCAGTAAGACTTAAATTGTTTTGACCATATTCGAAAGAGATAAGACACTCAAAGTTCGATGTGTTTATCGATGAATTAGTCATTAATTACGATCAGGACAGCTTTTGATCGATTGCGGAGATCATAACTCAACGTGTGTTGAAAATCGTATCGTGAACTAGCATGATGCATCGTCAACGCGGTGGTAAAATAGCTCTTCGACGATTTAGCATCTGTGGGCAAAGATTCTTTTTATCGAATCTTTCATCTCGCGTTCAGAGATTTTAATGCTCGGACGATTTCCTTTCTTTTTCATCTTTCATTCTTATTTAAGTTTCCGTTATTAGAGGACATAGAATGTGAATTAGATTTAAGTAGGTAGTGACACGACGATGAAAAATCCGTTTTTGAAAACCCACATCTTTCCCTGTAATCTTGGACCCATTGATGCCGCCTTTGCGGCACGGAGTCGTAGTTCGTTTCGATTCGGGTTGGCCGGGACAGGGACAAGACGGAAGGGGTTTGAAAACGGTGAAGCGTGTAACGGCTTTAATAGCGGCAGATCGCTACGCAGTAAACGACTGACGGACGACAGAAGATTAAAGTTGGCCGTTAACTCGATCTAATTGTTCCCCCGGCTTGGCCTTCCTTTATTAATCCACGTCCACAAGCATCTTCGGCATCGCCATCATTGTCATCCCTTGTCACGAGCCTCCTCCTTGATGCTACTTGCGGATCCATTGCTGCGTCTCTAATAAATTGTCTTGCAACTTCGAGGCAAATCGCGAGCTGAGGTTATCGCATGATAAAACCATAAACAACAACTCGAGATCGCGAACCGTGTTAAATCTTTCCCAATCTCTATTTGGAAACAACATATTTTCTCCGGAACATCCATTTTATATGAGAATTGCATAACTCTTCAAGAAGAGAAGGATGCTTTTGTAGAGGAAAGAAAGAAATTAAAATTCCAGTAGTACCCTCTTAGATTCTCCTCATTTTTCTATCCAGCAGCGTCTCCCGTGCGTTATAAAATTTCGATCAGAGCCCGGTCTCATAAAATAATAATCTCGTGGATCGCGTTTCTAGAATTTTTTTCGAGGCTTGCGACGCGTTCTCAAATAGAAACGTGAAGCGAATTCAACCGCGAGTCGCCGTATGCATGCAACCGCATACATACATACGCTCATGTAAATACGCGTGTAGAAGCGTGCAAGCGTGTGTAAGCATTGCCGAACCCGGACCAAAAGTAACCCATCTGCCGGCCGGTTGGAACGACGGTGACGGTTTTTCACACCGGTTTGCATCCTCGCCGGTTTTTACCGCATTCCGACAGGGCCAGACGCAGCATTTGCGTAAGCAGTTCTTCCTATCTGCTTGGAATCACATCTGTCCGGACTTCCTCTACCTTTTTCTGTTCTGCTTTTTGAGTTTTGTTCTACCCTTTGCTCTCTCGATTATTACCGCTCTCGCCACCGACTCTTCTGGGTTTTGCTCCTTTTTTTCCCCTCATCACTGCACACATCTTCCACATTAAGATGCTTAGGTTTTATGAGAAATATTACGAGATCGTTCGGTTAATTTCCTCTTAATCGAATCGATACGTACCTTCAAGCGGAAATTTAAACGTCTAATAATATTGCAGCTATCGGTATAACTAAGTATTAGGTAATCCGCAATTGATCTGTTTATCTGACTCTTATCTGACACGATAAACCAACATAATATCCAAGAATAAATCATACATATTTTCGTCCTCTTATATTTCGTATTCCTTCCAGGAATTATACAACAGATTATTGGCGAAGCTTATAACGTGACAAGCAACGTTTGAATTCATAACATGTTCTACAGTAAAGTTGTTTAAAAATTGAATTGGATCTTATTAATCTACATTTCTTTTATTTTTAATTTTTCATCGTGATCGTGCGATTTTTTCCTCCCTCTATGACGCGACGTAAGGCGACGACAAACTCGCGTGCAGAGTTTTTCATTACATTAAACCACTCTACCTCGAGTCTTGACGTATTTTGATTCGATTGCGAAGCCACCAGAAGACACGATAATAATCGGGCCTAATGCACGGAACGCAGGGAATAGTGGAGAGCTTTAAATGCGATTAACCGACACCGGTGCATTATATAGCCAGGCACGTGACCGCGTGTCACGCGCACGGATTATAAATATAATATACCGAGCATACACCGTGCATCCTACGAGAGTTAGATTGATATCATCCCCTTTGGAAGGGTGGCAGAGAAACGGCCTGTTCGAGTGAGAGAGTGTCAGAGCAGCTCGCTCGATTTTCCGACCGATGGCCGCTCGTAAATCACTACATTCGAGATCGTTCCCGATTATTAGAAATACCAGACGCGGGCGACGGACAAGATACAAATACATACGCTCGCTTAAGCATCGCGACGATAACTCGATCACACGCTAGTCACTTGTCGGTGAAACCTTCCACTGATTATCGTTACGATGATCGATCGTTGACGTGCCGTACGGCTATTATTGTTCTGATTTAAATACTTACTCGCGTTTCGTCTGGCACGATAATTTATCTCAAGTGCGATCACGAGTACCGTTATGTCCATTGAGCAATCGATATTTGTCGTTGCATTTCTCTTTTGTATGCTTATTATTATTAATCTCGTTGCCTGAAACAGTTGCTGTATGTATGATTATTGTCAAAATTGAAGCATGAAAATTGTACGATTTTCAGTCAACACGAGTTCGCATTTTGAGTCGTGCAAGTTCGGTCTGATTCCGTTTCGAACTCGAAAAACAAATTAGAGGAAACGTTTACGAAAATACGTTTTACTCGTGGATGTATAAGCTTCGATTTTTCTTCGTGACGCCTCGTTAACCCTCTACTCCTTCCTGCAAATCAGTCAGAAAAAAGGAATCAGTACGTGACTGAAATCTTATTCGGACAGCTTCCTCTGCCGAGAGAAACTGAATTTTCTCGTGGTCCTCTGATTCTCCTACATCATCCACCTACGTGACTCACCTCTCCCCCTGCCACTTGTCAGATACTCTTCAGACTACTAAAGAAGTATTACCTATATTCAGAGTCGGGAATCAAAAGCGATAACCGCGTACTCTCGTTTCAGACCGACTATCGTTCGGAGTTGGCCGGCTGGTTGGCTCCCCGGTAACGAGGAGTCCTTCACCGTCGCACTCGCCCTGTTCAGACTCTCCGCCGTCGGACCGTCGAGATGGGGAAGTGGACGTGGACGTGGAGGAAGAGGAAGTGGACGTGGACGTTGAGGAAGTTGGCGACGAGGACGATCGCGACGCGACGTCGAGTCCACCGCGATCCTCGACAACACCGTCGCCCAGCAGTGTGACTACGTCGCCAACGTTGAATCCGCCGAAGAAATCCGGCGATACATTCAGCGTTTCCGCTCTCCTCAGGCCGGATCCGCCGTCTGCTCACCTGCAAAACGCCTCCCCGCACAGAGACACGACGACGATCGGAGCGCATCCACCACCGCCTGGCTCCTCGATACTCTATCCGCCTCTGCATCTTCAGGGTGGCCTGTTACCACCCCATCCACATCATCCTCTCTCGTACCTGCATCCTCAGTTGCTTCCGCATCATCTATTACCGCCACACTTACACCCACTGCTTCGTAGCGTTCACCCAGGCCACCCTGGCCTCCACTCGACTCATACTGCGCACGGGCTTCATCATCATCCTTTGGGCGACGTTTACAGCTGCGTCAAGTGCGACAAAATGTTCAGCACGCCTCACGGACTCGAAGTAAGTTCAACCACGATTTGTCATAATGATTGACGAATGATCCTTTTTAAAGCTTGTTAAGTGAGGGAATATGCATAATCATTATTTTAAACGACTCTTATAAGTAGTTAATATCTTAATTTCTTCATCGTCTTGAATTAATTTTATAGTATAACTTTTAAAGTTCTTAAATGTTCGAGAGCCACAGTATCGTATACGCATGAGATATCTTTAAGAAGTTTCTTAGAGGAAATGCGTTTTTTATAGGTGCACGCAAGGAGGTCCCACAATGGAAAGAGACCGTTCGCCTGTGAACTGTGCAATAAAACGTTTGGCCATGAAATCAGTCTTACGCAACACAGAGCTGTGCATTCCGCGGAGAAGGTTTTCGAGTGCAAGCAGTGCGGCAAGGCGTTTAAACGTTCCAGCACTTTAAGTACTCATCTTTTAATCCACTCGGACACGAGACCATACCCCTGCCAGTTCTGCGGGAAGAGATTCCATCAGAAAAGCGATATGAAGAAGCATACCTACATACATACTGGTGAGTGATTTACATAAATCATAGTTACTATAGTAATAAGGAATGCCAAAATGGAGGCACCTAAGCTTTTGTCAAAATTCATAAAGCATTGTCTTGTGTTAAAAATCTACATATTTAAAATAATTCGAAAGTTACGTGTGCGTAATTCAAACACAAAAATTATTTTCTGCACGTAATTTTATCCAAAATCGCATATGAGAAGTTTTTGGTCCGGATTGATCGTAACGGGCATGTCGGGGATCAATTAGCAGAGCAACTTCGTACGATAAATAATGCAGTTAACCGTCTGGACGGAGTCTTGTCGTGATCAAGAGGATCCAGTCGGATCGAGGCACATGTGGCCACTGCGTTTTAGGGCGACGAGCCCCTCATTGCGAGCTCCGCTCGGTAATAATCGTAATGTCTTTCGGGGTGCCCATCATTCTGTCTTCCTTTTTCCTCCCACGATCTGGTCTGACACAATAGACCCCCAATCTCCGAATGGAATTTTTCTATGACAAAAATTGTACGTGGGAAACGTGGATATAGCTCCCTACTGATCCATAGATTTCTATTCCTCTAGATTACAGGATATTTTTCAAAATCTTTATTGCTTTTAATCCAAATATTCCGGAACGTAGATTTCTTTTATATAAAAATGACCACGATTTCAAGAAAACGGCATGAAACTTAGGGATTCCTTTTATGTCGCCCCTTATCTCTTTTCGATTTCGACGGCTTGCATCCCTGTCGAAAGTTAAAGAGCACGCACCGTGCAAGGGATCGTCCCTCGTCGTAGGTGAGTGGGCGATGGCGTTGGGACACTTGACACTTAGGTATCTCACGGCTGATGGAACGACGCTCCTGAAGGAGCAGCAGGTTCGTCCGAGGGTGGGAGTGGGCCGGAGGAACAGACGAAGGAGTGTTCCAGTCGGGGGTCTGGGTTTTGTATCGTCTCCATGGCAACCCTCCCGATGTCTTATCAAATTATCACCTTGTCCTCCCCCATGCTCCTCCTTCTCCGTCTCCTTGTCGCTCTAACTGCCGCTCGCCTCCCTCTCGTTTACCCTCGTTCTAGTGAAACAGCCGAAGAAGGACCCGGCGAAAGAGGATACAAAGCGATGGTCACTTCCTGTAGCCTTCTAACAACCTACGGGACCTCCCCGTACGGTATGTACGCGCCTACGTTGTCCACCTTCACGCACCGACTCCTCGAGGGTCGCCACGGAACATTTAATTCATTATTCAGAGGGATGAAAAATTGAGAGTGACCAAAAGAGCTGCCGTCCGATGCCGTTGGCAATTTTCTTTCGGAACAAGGATATTCCTGTCATCTACCTTGCTTCACTTTTCCTCGAGTTGACTTCTCAAAAATCAGCTCGAGTTACACAACCGTCGAACAGCTTCGGTCGACTATTACCGTCCATGTAATTAAAAATCAATCCGTTAAATGAAAATCCCTGACTGGCATAAGAGCCGGTGTTGGCGTGAGTGCGCGCGTTAAGCAGTAAAACCAAGGGTGTTCTGGGACTTCGCTGCTAATGATAATCAGACCTCTCTTTCTCCGGTCGTATTCCCTTGGTCGTGAGCACGGGCCATGTGCAATAAGGGCGCGGCACCGTCGGATTCCCAGGGGACCGGCATGGCGTAACGTAAAATCATTATTAGGTAGGTAGGTAGGTGGTTGCTGGTGCACACGAGGGGTGGCCAGAGAAACGGGGGCTCGGCTCGGGAACGCGTATAGAGCGCGCGGGCAAGGGGGTTGAAGCGGCGCTTACGGGATTGGGAAGTGCGGGAATAAGAGCTCTGCAAATATTGTTCGTGCGCGAGGCCAGCAGCCGGAATAGCTAGGGGTAGTGAATGTTACTTGCCGTTACCTTCGGTGTTGGCTGCGCCTTTTGGGCCGTCGCGCCGGTTCTGGCCTACCAGTCAAGTGTCCGATCTCGGGGGTGGCCGCAAAAGGGGTTGACGAGCCCCGGCTCGGATGGAACGATGACAGACCGACAAGTGGCCACACACGACCGCTTTCCCGATGAGAAAACATTGAACTTATCTATTTCTGATGATCCTGCGAGCTCGAGAACAGGAAAATATTGCTCTTTGAAGTTCGCGTCCTCGAGTGTCACAGGACGACTCGATGATTCGGCAGAACTGAGTACTTCGGTCAGTTTCGACCGATGGGAAAGATCAACTCCATTCTTTCTTACTTCCTCTTTGTTTTTTAAAAATATTAATGACTTTAGACGTCTCGTCAATTGACAGTTTGTCTACTATATTCTTCTATATAGTTGTTTGTATGACGCCAACGACGATGATCTCTCATTAATCACTTTTAAGTATTCTCATATTTTTCTTCTATTTTTTCTTAGATTATTTTATTCTACTACTTCTTGAGAATATTTAAAAGAATTATTTGAATAGGCAAAAGATTCTTTGTCTCACGATTGCAGGAAGTTGTCGAATGAAAACCTGTGTCTTCTTCCTAGCAATGAGACAATCAAGTTGCAGGGTGCATGCGCGTTTAAACGCACACACGCTTGGGAGAGCGATCGAACTCGCAACAGTAGCCTCGGTGTTTTCACAATAAACACAACCTGTCCAGTCTGTCGGTGCAAAGTAAAGTCGAACGGGGGATGAAGATCGGTGAGGGTCGCTATACTATAAGCGAACCGCCTATACACTTCCTGATCTCATCACACAGACCAGCCTATGTGTATGTATAGGCTCGATGTTTATACTCTCAGAGATGGTGCACACTTCACTCGCAACGAGATGGTCCCCTTTTTAGAGGTTCAATCACGCTCGTCGTAAATCGTCATCGATTTGCTCGTACACGATTTCTTGGAGCGTTCATACTGCGTTTACCGACGCTTTATTTCGATCAACTTGAGAGCCAATCCGATCGGAGCGTGTCTCTTAATATTCGATACAACACATTTCTTTATAAACGATTATGAATGAATTCAGTGAATCATTTATCACGAATACATATTAAAAAATCAAATAAATTATTGATTCTATCAATATTGAGAGTTTACTTTGGTACAGTGAATGGAATGTATCAGTTTTTTAATATAACAGCCAAACCTCGCTTTGTCGCTTGAGATAAAATTTGAAAAAGATAATCCTGGTATCAGCACAAATAAAGGACAAATTTTCAGTTTGCGGTTTGAGGGACGTAACAAAGAGGGGTCCGGCAACTAAAACGGGACGACTCTATAAACATGAAAGAGATACGAACGCGTTTCGCTGGCGTGCATATTATGAATTTAGCGGTGGCTCTAATGTAGGGATACCTGGCCGAACGTCTCCCTCAAACTCACCTCGAGGGTGCGGTTATCGTATACTCAGCGAGATACAACCGTGCAACCTATACAAGCCACCTTTGTGGTTTGTGTTCACTATACATACGGCACATCGGACTCTGTCTCCGTCTGTCCCGGAGAGTTTCGTCCCTACCCTTGCCCGCCTGTTCTCTAGACGAGACGGGGCTATTAGAGGTTTCCGGCTGACTTGGTGCCACGAGCATCGGGGGCGCCGCAACATCCCTCTAAGCTGTTTAAACTTCGCGACATGCCCCGAGGAGAGGACCGGCCCTGGCTCCACCTTCCCATCTTTCGTCCCCGTTTTCGTCTTTACGGCTCGTTAGCGACGCGTCTTCACCGCCGCGTTGCTGAGATAATCGTTCACGTGCGAGGCGTTTCGTTTTTACGGTGGACTTCGCATTCTTATCAATCCTTGTGCCAATAACCGAGTAAATAAAGTGTTGCATTAAGAAATACTTCCTGTTGTTCATTCAAATCTTTCGGGGTTTTGTCTTGAAGATTCGTAGTAAGCAATGAGAATGGAGTTTGCTAGTTTGAAATGCAAAAGCAAGTCACCTCTGAGATGTGCATTATAGGTAGAACCTTCGCGTTCGTTAGACCTCCGCACCGCAACGTTATATTTAATGTCCTGTCGGCATAAGCAACCGATACCGCATTAAACATGCAAATTCGTCGGTATAACGTTCCACGGAGCCAAGGCATCATCCATATAGCGGCGAGTGGCACATAGTGTTCGCAGTGAAGCGGTATGATTAAATTTCCAGGGATATCGACATGCCAGAAGCACGTCAAACCCCTACCACCACCTGGCCCGCCATATCTCACCCGTTCATCCCTGTATCATCCTTTTTCGCTTCTCCACCTATGCGCGTAACCAGCAGCTCGATCTCCCGGCCTCGGGGTACGAAATTAACTACATTCCGACTATATTCGTACGCCTTTCGCCACCCCTTGCGCTTCTGTTTGAGTACAAGAAAATATTTTCATTGGCTTCATAAGTTGTCTCATCTCTCGTATTTTATTTTATTTTATATTTAGTTTTACAATTAATCCCTAAATGTAATACATATTATTCTGTTCAATCATGTATGATTGAATCCTATGCAAGTCACGATTTTGATTTGCACTCGGGAATTCTTCCTCGTTCGATGAGATCATATCGCAGATATCACGTGCGCAGAGTTATCTTTTTAGTGCATAGTTTTTTTTTCAAAACTTTGTTAGATAATTGCATCGAAGTTTAAGGTATTAAGAGCCACGATTTTATCCGAATCCTCAAGAGAAATCGTATCTACTTTATCTATCGTAAGAGATCCGATTTCTTCGTGCAACTTAAGTGTGCGATTCGCGTTGATAAGGGCCGTTGATACGTATTTAACGGTTTTCCTGGAGCTGTGCAGCGTACAGCGACGAACGGAACAATCTTAATAGTCGGATAAGAGAAAGTCGTCGGTGAGTCACAATTGTCAATTAAGGTGTGCGCGGAGCGCGTAAAGCGGGACCGTCGAAAAGGGCGTCCGCTCGCAGATCCGATTTGTCACGATTCCTAATGTTGATCGACGCTGTAATAATTTAATAGCCATACATCCGCCGTGATCGTGCGGGAGGAGAGGATTATTACCACGGATCCCTGCGGTACACCGAGAGCATTAAGGAGCTAACAGACTTAGCTCGAGTATCGCATTTCTTCCTTGCTTCGCAACCCAGAACCCGGCTTTCTCCCTTCGTTGTATCATCGCGATCAAATACTGGCAATCAGAAACGCATTTGCGCTGTAAGGCGCACCCGGGAAAGTCAAACTTGACAGATCAATTTCTTCTTAAATTGTTTATTCCATACGCATAAATAAATCTTTCAACAATTTGTTTCTAAAGTTCTTTTATTCTAGATTATATGATCTTTTGATCAATAATAATATTAAATAACCTAAGTGTTTCGGCAATCAATCTTATTATATGATTAAAATTTGTCATCACGGGAAATACGCCGGTCGGACGATTTTTTCGTGTTTATCAGGTAGTTCATCGTCAAACCGGAAATATCAGTACCGTACAAAACGTTTCCAGTTGCAGCCTGGCCGCCACAAATTCCCAGGGTTGTGTTCTTGTTATTGGTGAGCCCTGTGCCGCACCTATACAGTCGCCCACGCGTCCACTCCGCGTCTGTATCGGTTGTGGAAACGATGTAGCCCAGGCGTTACGTGACGGCATGTAAAACGCGGTACACGGCAGTGTCTATCCCATGCTCATCGTTGCAGTTGCGTTGACAACGCGTCGCGTCGTGTTGGCGTTTTAGCCGGCCACTTCATCCGTACGCGCAAAATAGTAAATACAGCCAGGTTGTTGGGTCCGCCTGTCCCATAGGACTGGTGTCGTTGGCTGTACACTGGTAGACGAACAATGCTCTGAAATTGTTGAACGACACGAAATTTAATGGGTGCGGGTGGCGAAAATAGTTTTCGCTGTAGGTTACTGCGAGCAAGTGTTAAGTTGTGTACTTTGATGTTTCGAGATAATGAAGAATAGTTATGGTCGTATAATATGATAAACGCTTGACAGTCTTTAGATAATGTTTTTGATAATTGAAAGCTGGTTTAGATCATTTTCCGTCAGCGATTAATTAAGTTCGACAGCGGGAATAATTAGATTCTAGGGAGGTCCAACCAGTCACATTATGTTTCTTCAAAATTATTACAATTATATGTCCTATTGTGAAAATTGAATATTAAGATTGATTGATAATAATTTTGTTTGAGACGTGATCAAGGATTCTCAGCAGAGAATACCTAGATTCTTTTTCCTGTTCCGTGTGACATGTAGGCGATGGGATGATCCGTTCGACGTAACGCTGACGCGAGCTTTGCAGACGCGTAAGAAAATCCATGCCGGCCCCCCGATATGAAATATGAGATATGGTACTTTCCTTCGATTTTCTCTTTCTCTCGTCTCTCGCGAGGATTTCAGTTAGAGGGTAGGGACGCCCCCAGAGGGCCGGAACGTGGTCGATGAAGACGAGAGGAAATCAATGCCTCAGCCAGAGTCCGGTTCACCTTCGTCTCTCTTTTTCCTCGACTGCTTCTCTGTGCTTCTCCTATCGTGAACTTCAAAGAGTAACGTTTGAAAGCTTTTCTTCGTACAAGCCGAGTTTCTGAGCTCCAAACTGCACTACCATTAAAATGTCAGGATTGTGAATTATGGAACAAGATATTCCCTACGTTAGCTTCTTTAAGTAAAAATTGCTTGTGTATTAACGTTCTTATAGCTGAGATTTTCAAATATTTAAGAATGTTTTATTACCGTAAATGATGTCGATATATTTTCTGTGTAAGTGCTATGAATAGAGAAGAAGAAATATCTTTATTTAATCGGTTCAGTGTCTAAACAAGACCGCTCGCAGAAACTTGGCCGTACCGACAACGGAAGTGATCAAACTATCGTCTTGGTTTTCCACTCTCGAGAGTTTCTTGGAACGAGCAGAGGGTTGAGAGATCACGGGGATGATATTTCTAGCGGGGACCGTCGGCTGAGGGCCAGAAACGCGAAGAAGAGAGGGAATTAGCGAAGGGAAAAGGACCATCGCAAGATTTCTGGGAGTTTAATATAGTTTTAGGGGCGTCGGCCGACAGCTTCGGGGTGTAATGGCGTCTTAAACCTCAGGGGCTCTCAGTTCCGACTTCCTCCCTCTTTCTTGTTTCTCAGGTTCTCCAGTTTGAAAAATTGAGGGCACGGAATCTGTACTGTACCAGCCAGGGTTAAATCTTTGACCACATCTCCTTGCTTTTCCTTCTTTCGGAACGGCACAGCTGCGCTGGGGAAAATGTTCGCGTGTTGCTACAGCGCAGTATGCGGCGTACGTATTCAATTCGCGTAGCGGTTGGTGCAACGGGAAATCGTGTATCCGTGTCCGGTGTCGGTGTACATCGGAGAGACGATGGTCAGGAGAAGCATAGAACACAGAACGGCGATGCGCATTGGGGTTGTCGTAGAGCGAAGGCATCGGAGCCACAGTGGTCGGGTTTTTCCGGGAGATAAAGAGGAAAAGGGCAACCTCGGTGCGAGAGCCCCGAAGGTTCTTGATTTTTATGAGCACGTAAATTCCGGAAGACGTCCCTGCTTCCAACCCAGGTTTCGTCTCTTCCCTTTCTGAATCATCGGCCGTTCCTTTCCGACTATAGATATTCTTCCATTCGATCTTTTTTTTTCCCGGGCAAAACGGAAAATTCGTTTGAAACGAACATCTCGGAGACTGAAACGCTAAAATGGAATTTTTTGTAACCACTGATACTCCCGTTGTTACATTTTCTTGCTCTTTAAATTGCACATACTTACATACATATCTATCATATCTATATGTTTTATTTATAAAAAAACTGGAGTTTCTCTTCTTTTACGCGTAAACGTTCCGGTGAGATTTTTCGAAGGGAGCCGATTTATATCGGGCAGGCAACCTCGGTACGGAAAGTTTTTGATTTTACGACCGCGTAAATTCCGAACGGTGCTACCAAGCTTCGTTCTCCGTTCTCTCATTTCTCTCCGGTTTTCCAGCTTCTCTCGCTTAATGCCGTGAAAATTCTATTCATTCTGCCGTTCCATTCGGGCGCAGAGAACTCTGTGGAATTTCATCGTGGAACGGCAGCCCCGACAAATTCCACCAGCACGCCCTTGACGACGCACCCTTAACCCTGAATCCTCCCTTGAATCTCGATTTTGAGTGTATCCGAATCGTTGCGGTTCTTCTCCACTTGAAATTTGCATTATTCGATGACACTTCCGTTACGTAAATACTCCGTTCCTTAAATATTTAATTCTCGTTTTCTTAATTGAAAAAAATTATTCTTAAAATTTAATTCCGTATATGCGATTGCTTTATCTAAAAACAAATTGGTGTACAGAGAAAAGTTTGAACGACTCGTAGTGTATTTGAAAAGAAATCAAGATAACGATCGGGTATAATCGGAAAGGTGATCGACGGCCCGGTCGTATCGGCGAGGCGAGATTGAAGGCTCGGCTAACGAGTTGTTTATGGATCCACCCACCGCCTCACGGTGAATCTCACGAGACCGTGTGTACATACGTTTACGTCTGCGCCCCGTGTCTGTGTTCTGGACTGGACGGTCGTGGAACACAGGAGAGTGGACGCAGCGGGTACATACGAGCGTACAGGAGAGTCCATTAACGGGCCGGTACTGCTCTCCGTCGGCATAGTTTGCATTGCTGGATCCGCGCACCCTCTTCGTCCATCCCGATCGTATCGTCCGTCTGCGTCGTTCACGAAATTCTTCCTTCCAACCGTACTTTTTCGCCTTCTTTTTTTGTTTCAACCATCCGATTGACTGTCTCCCTTCCTTTTCCACGGAAATCGTTCTTCTTTCTCCTTCTGTCACGTTCCAGCCCCCTTTCTCATTCTCCTAGGCAGTGCCGCTCGATCTTCCTTTCTCGTTCCCTCGCCAGGTTATCCCCGGTAGTCATGGTAACACAGGGGTTGGAGCCGCCCCCGGCCGCCAATCAGAACTCGCGGCCACCACGAGAGAAACGAACGACTACCCTTCCCGTCCTCATCCACCCCACTCTCTGGTTCGCGTAATCTACCTACACCCCCGCGCGTCCTGTCTGCCGCGATCTCTCCTCTCTCTGCCTCGCCGCCGGGGAGGCTGAGATTCTCGCTTGGGAGAAAATCTTGACCGGGCGTGCCCCGCATCCGTGATACCACCCTCTCGCGGAACAGCTACCTACCTTTCTCCTGGAGTGTCTATTTACTTTTCGTTCCCGTTTCTAACGCTCCCGAGGCTACGATCACCGGGATGCTGAGGCTGAGGGTCAGACCGCTTCCGAATTAACGCTCCTGACCGCTAGAATGCCGAGACGAGGCGCGCGAATGGCTGCGCCGTCGTTGGAGGGATTTCCATTGACTTGTACTACTGCCATAGCGTTTGCGAGAACCTGGACTAGCTCGAGTATTCCTGTTTAGCTTGTTTATGAGTATTCTTGGCAAAATGTATTGTACTTAGGTTTGGGGAATATTATGTAAACACCTTATTGGTCGTTAAATGAGTAAATTTGCATAAACTGAAACGTTTAATTCTTGTAATTAAATAAATGAATTCATCCCGCTTTATCAAATACAATTTGTCACAGGAAGTGTGATGATTGTTATAATAATACATGATTTTATTATTATTATATCTGGTATTTTGAGCGTTAACAAAATTTGAAACAAGGATTTATATTAATGATGATTTTTATATCAAATCGAATCTTTATTTACATGAAATATCCTTTGATAAATGTAGACATTTTGTTTGCAGGCGAGAAGCCGCACAAGTGTCAAGTATGCGGCAAGGCGTTCTCTCAGAGTAGCAACCTGATCACGCATTCAAGGAAGCATACGGGTTTTAAGCCGTTCGCCTGCGAGCTTTGCGGCCGGGCCTTTCAGCGCAAAGTCGATCTGCGGAGACATCGAGAGACCCAGCACGCCGATCTGAATACGTCGCAGCGAGCCGCGTCCATCGGAACCATCCCCGGTCAGAATTCACTACCGAACGGCAATCCTCCGATGATGCAGTGAATCATCAAACAACGATTGGCGGAACTTCCGTAAGCCTTTATCCTCCAAGAAGAACAGATCGAGTTCATTTGGAAACGGTGCAATCGAGGAAATGTCCGACGCGAAAGATTCTACTTTCCTCACTCTGTAGTAAAAACGAACGTTTTACACTGTTAGAGGAGGTACAGGCCGACTTGTACATTTAACGAACTACTGTATTTATTATTTAATGATTCGTTTTCGGTTTTCCCAAAGTGCAATGTGAAGCTTCTCCGTAGAGTGCGTCATCAGAATTCGCCGAGAATGGAATACTACCGTCTACATTCCGATTCCAAGACGGTGATCGGGAATGAACACAAGTGTGCAAAGTGATATAAAGCGCGTGAACGTTGATACCAAAGCTGTACATTCCATACTTCGGCTCGAATAAGAAGAATGTATTATTGTATAGTACGCGATCAGAACTTCGATGATTCTTTTTCCTGGAGTCACATTTCCGATGGATTCCATTTAAACGAGAGATGAATGGTGTCCAGTGATCCGCAACGCAGTGAGATGAGATCCTTTTCGTTTCGAGTGCCGCTAATCTCCGTGTTGAATCGTTAAGTATCGATAATCGTTCACTGTATTTCTCTCTTATTAAGTAGACGTTTACGCGATGTTCATTGCGACGATTAAACGAGTTCGATTCAATCGTACAGTTCATTAAATGCCACTGTAACGACGTTTTGGGATCTCATAGAGGAAAGTGCAACATGAAATTTATTTTGCTCATTAATCGCTACTATTCTAAGACGAAAATATTCACGGGTTTCGTTCGATCGTCGATAATAGACAACGCGTAAGAAAAGTACCATCAGCGTACTGTATTTTGCATATCTCCAGCACCTATCGTTAAGGAAAGGGCATCACACACTCCAACAGTGACCAAAAAATCTTGTAAATAACACATAGACTGTATTTCGCCTAGCTTAAGCGTATAAATATATACATATTATAAATAAAGTCAAGACGAGGCTATAAATATTATAAATAGAAACAGGAAATGGCGTTCGGAACTGATTTGTTCTAATTGAATAAGGGAATGAGGATCATTCCCCGCGTCGAGTCTCGCTAAGAAGCAAGTGTATTCTTTCTCTCTTTACGCTACTGAAGTTTTTATTGTTGTACCATTCCTACCATTATGTAATTATTGTAATTAGAGAATTCGCTATTAATATTATTGCGATTATTATGAATATTATTATTATTAACAATAAATGCTGTTACCATTTGTAATTCGTTCTCTCAATGTCACAATCGATCCCTCTCTTTCCGAGTTATTCAGGCACCGACTAACTCTTCACGATTAATTCGCGAACGTTTGCCAAGTTTATATCATCGTTATTTAAATAAAGTAAAATTTTATTTAAAACTCTTTCCACTGACTCTTTACTATCCTGACTTCTCCTTAATTTATGTTCGGCTTTTACATTATCTTCATTTAACCGGAACCAAAGTTAGATTTCTTTACTGATTGTGACTTATCGAATCAATACGATCCTCGACTATATCGTTCACGAGGACTAGCCAATAACGAACTGGGCAACTATCGAAAGCGTAACGCGATTAATCATCGACGGGGGAATCTGGCTGGCTGTTTCAGATCACATTCGCTTCAAGCTTGCACGATCCCTTTCCGTGTAATTCAGGGTTAAACGGCCGTGCCAATTAAGCGGACTACCCCTTGAATGGCGAACCCCTTAACGGCCCAATATGTTTTCCGGCGAGTTTCGTTCGTCGAGTTTCCATCCGACCCTTCGCCTCTCTCTTCCTCCGCATTGTTTTCCAGCCCGTAACGTACGAGAGGGAAACCGTTTCTACGTGAGATTTTCTGGGGACTCGTTTCCAGGACCTTTTCACGGGTTTCGCAACGGACGATGCGACGGTCTGGCCGCGCAGGAGAAGGAGACGGAAACACTAGAGTAAAACGTGAGGAAGACGGACGATAAGAGGGTCGTAGGTAGGTGCGGGAGGGAGGAGGTGTGGTAGGAGAAAGGAGAACGTTACAGCACTGACTGCACGACACCATGACGCAGCCACGGGGGCAGATTGGACAGTTATTGCATTCTGGGTAAGATTAATTGATATGGGGACCCGCGGGGGTGGCTGAAACACGCCGCCCGCTTAAATCGTGTCTCAGGAACGGGGATGAGAGGAACGGTGATTAACCGATTGCACCGTGAACGGAGTGGAACCGAAAACCAGCCCCCTCTCTGCCTATCTCTCTCGATCATGCCGGGAATGCTTCATGCCCTTCTCTAATAGCCATTGAGTAATAGAGAGCCTCTCATTATTAAATAGCGCGAGACGCTGGGCGCATTCGTTCGCCTGCTCGCGTAATGACGTGATTACCGGGAGCACCGTATCGTTGGCCAGATTTATTAAGCCTGTTCATTTTCTCCGGACAGGTGCGCCGGGAATCTTCCTCCACCGTTCTCGATCTAGCCCGGCCCATGACGTTTCGAACGATGATTGTAAAATTTCTCCTTTTCCACAGTTTAATCATCGAATTTGTTAAATCCTTCTACAATACATTCAATAATCAAAAGTCGTTATTGAATAACAAAACGTTGTATAATCTCAAAGCATTTGTAAATACGTACCATTTACTGAGCTTGATTGCAGAACGGTTCAGCCATCAAAATTTAGCACGCGAATTTTATTTAACCTTTTCTTCAAGCTTCGCCCGTGCCTCGAGAACACGGACCGGGGGATATACATCGAACATCGAGAAGATTGCACGACGAACAAGACAATTCCGGGGCAGTTGCAATTCTCGTTGCATTCGATTGTACTTCGGCTGCACCAATTTCGAGTGTTTCCCCGCAATTTTCTCCGATATAACCGGGATACGGCTACGAAGGCCGTTCTTGTGAGGTTCTCGTCATATTCTAACCGGAGAACGGCTGTCCAGGGTCGTGTCGTTTTGCAGCAGGGATGACTGCGGGAACGTTTGAACGCGTTTAGAGGGGACACACAACCGGGCGCGCAGAGGCTGCTGCGCGGATACACCTTATGACTATTAAGGTATTCACGGCCCCTCGGAGGACGCCTCGCTTTGAAATATGGCATCTCGGATCATCCTCTGCATACCGGGAATCGCTCCTCCTTCGTTCTCTTTCAACCCCTCCTGCTCACAGTTTTACCACCCTCTCCACGCCTGATCCTTTTATTTCGTGTATCTCGGTCCTTCGGATCATCTCCGGGAGTTCACCCGAATCCTGGGACATCGCGCATCCACACCCCCTTCCTTCGTCCGTTTACCTATCCGGTGTTCCATATTATTTACAGCATCGTTCCATGTGTTACTTCGCAATAACTCGCGAGCTGAGCGCAGTTGAACGCGACAGTGTCACCAAATTGGTGGAAACCGGAGAACGTCGTAACCTGTCCCGTTCCCTGACATCCATGAGTGATGTACTATCGCGGCCAACCGACATGCGACATCGCGACATATTCGTCCAACGGAGACCGGGTAATCGATATCATGCCAATATTTTTATCGTCGACCTTACTTAAAAGTGTAATACAGAAGGTACTAGGTAAAATAAATTCACGAAACTGAGTAAAAGACATATATACATTAATTAATTTAATAGTAAGTTACTATTAATATCAAGTTACTACATATTAAATGACTGGTACTGAAAATAGAAATAAAATAGTATATGTAATATAAAAACTTGTTTTCATTTTTTGATCTTATAAACAGGTGGCTATGCGCGTACGGATGAAATATCGAAAACAATACCCTGCTGGATAAAATCCCATTTTTCAGCAACCGGGAGTAATCCCGTTTGCGCGTGAGGATTTTCATGTCAGTCAACGCGAGGTTGTTCTTCCCTCGGATTAAAAAAAACGTCAATTCGCGATAATTATCGTACCGCGCTACGTGGCTGGGCGTATGGTTAATGGAATTTTTGAGGAGGAGATTACGCCTCGCGTTTTATCCAATTTGCCCGTCGCATGCTACACGTTAATTCTACGCTCGTTGTCTCGCGTGTGTTGTCACATCACGTATCCTCCTTCGACCCGTCCGTTCCACCTCTCGCCGTCCGTAAATTCCATCAAATTCAATGTTTATGCATTTTTCGATTCCATGTAAAAATTAATCGTTGCAACGTTCGTTGAAAAAGGGGCGTGAACTCTTTTCTTGAAGAGGATCGCAACATAGACGCTGCGACAGTCTGTCAGCGGCAGTTCCATTTGTCAGTAGGCTTTTCTAATAACGACTAGGTTCTCTCTTACGTCGACGGAGTTTAAACAAATAGCCTGGCAACAGGGCGGGAAGAATAAAACAAATGACAGTACGCTTTCGCAAGAAAGGGGCATGTCGCACGCCCGGTCGCGATCCATCAGCGGTAGCGTCGTTTCGACTGACTCAATAGACTCGAAGATCGATCGAATTCTTACCTGGGCCGGCTTGAATTTAAACGTCGAACACCCTCGACCCTTCCGTAACCCCCAACGACTTTATATCTCGCTCTTAAATTCAGGATTAAGATTGGACGATAAATAAGTTTATTTAAAATCATAGCAACATTTGTTGCTTATTTATTTTCAAAGAAATTGGAAATTAGTACGACAAAGACAAACAAGTTAATGTAATAAGTTGAAAGACTGTCGGATTTTACAGGTCAAATAGGAATTTAGAAATATTGATCAGCAAATCATTAAGTATAATTGCAATTTGTAATTGAAAAAACGTCGGCGCTATCAAAGATCCATGGGGAGTGTCGTGCAACCAGTAAAACAACCGAGAAATAGGTCTATCGATACCAGAATACGTGGGCGATGACGACGTTCCCGCGGGAGCTCGATTCATTACTGATCTTGAATAAATGATCACGGCGTGCGCGATTGGTAACGAACAGGAGGATACTTTCGGAAAGTGATTATTCGTTCGGTGATGTTCAGTTTATCGGGACGAAATCGACCCCCGGAGAACGACGTGGCCGACCTGTGTCGCCATGTATCTCCTTAAGCTGCATCATTGATGATGGGACGAGTTCGATCCATTCTGCCGGTTTCTCGGGACTTCACTCGTTTCGACGTTCGTACGTCGCGTCCTGTTTAGCCGCTTTGTCGCGTGATTAATCCACGTGTGCACGCGATTTCTGCTACCCAGTTTTACGACCTCTCCTTGACTACTTCTTGTATTGACGGAGATTTCTATGAAGACGCGCGATTTCGCGACGATTAATTAGAAAACGTATTCCAGTAATATTAATTTAAATTTGCAATTTCAGTGCGAATTTCGTTTTAACAGACACTCCTTTACGTGACGCGAATGGTCGGACTTATTGTATTATTTTGCACCGCACCTAAGGAACGGTATACCGCGACAGAAAATTCAAATGCGATCAACCTCTCTGCTCTCTTTTTCCTTCATTCGTTCCCTTCTCTTTCTCTGTGCATAATTTCGCGGACGTCCTCGCGGACGTATTGGCGCCTACCTGGACCACGTAGCAGCCGTAACTCAGTTTCGAAATGGATCGCCTCCCAGGAATACTTTATGCGTGCTACACGTTATTCGACCCGATCGGTCCGGATGGCGCACGAGATACGAGGACAAGGATCTTAGGTATTCTACGCGTTGTCGTCGTGCAGGACGACTGCACCCAGGTTTCACTTCGGATGGAGAAGGACCAGAAACAAGGAGCGCGCTTCGTGTTTCGCCGCGCCACTCCACGTTGCGCCATAGGAAACTGCGAGCAGGATGGAGATCTACGGATAATCATATAAGGATGAGTAGGGCCGTGGAAGGCAGCTGGGTATCAACTTTTGATCCTTCGATATCTCGAACGGCGCGATGCTGCGGCGGGCATCCCTTCCAGCCCCGGGAGCTCGTCGGTATTCAAACGGCTCTAACTCGATATAAGCGGAGCTCCCCAAGGTATCCTTTAGCGACGACGACGACGATCAGGAGGACACCTATCCATCCACCCCTACTTCTACCTTCTCAACCACTTACAACCATCGGTTCGCGATGCGAGATAAGAGTATCCTCTTGCTCCGCTGGCGAATTCAATTTGCATCTTGGCTTCCATTTACTGCCTGTCCCTTCTTACTATCTTCTATTGCGCTGTAAAATGATTTTCGATGTTTATAAGCCGCTTTCTGATAGAAAATGTAGCTGCTCCTTCTATGAAAACATTATAAGTTCATCCATAATTTTTAACTAAATATGTACATATACAAGTTCATTAAAAACGTGTTAAGCTGCGTTATACATTTTTACTATGTTCAGTTTATTGTATTTTAACGACTGAATTACTTTGTGGTAATGTAAGGAAAAGAAACGGGGGTGGTTAGCAAACTACAATTTTAATAAGTATGTTCTGACTTATCGTTTATGTTAAGAAAATGTAGTTCTCTATCTGACTATCAATTGAACAGAGAGATATTCCACGTTATTGATCGCCGTTATTTGCCGAGAGACGGTAACTCAGCAGTGAACTATTGTGCGGCAACCGAGAAGTATCTCGGTGGTGCGGGCAATGTATGGGATGATGGTACATGAAGGACAATCGCAAATTAGGTAACAGGTGGAGTCAACGTTATAAACGAGATAATTTGGCCTATACGAGGGACCTATCAGCTCAAATGTATTTTCTTGTCTTCCGTTTTACGAGATTTTAATATCCCATTAATCTCATTAGCATTTCCATGTCACTCACAACATAAGAAACAGATTATGAAAAGGGAGCCTAGCATTCACTAAAGTAGCAGTACTAATATATTGTAAAAAACAATTAAATTCTGAGTAATAAGGGAATTAAAACAAATCTTGGCATTTTTATTTTATAATCCTTGTCCAAATGACCAATCGTGGAGGTGGATAGTTAAGTGGTTATCCCCTTTTACGTAGCCCGAATGATCTCGTATGATTATCGATACATAGAGGAGGAGCAAATATGCAAACTGGGGAGTACGTTCCCTGAAAATTATTAAATGATCGTGTGTGCAGGTAATAAGTCAGACATAGTTCCATTTTTGCATAATCGTATTTTAATGGTAGTCATATACAAGAGTATGTCATTGCTTCCGCAAGTATCGTTTATCTCGACTTAATCACGGCTTACGTCACTATAAAATAATTAGAAGCCACGTATTTCTTGCTATTTTTCTTTAAATCGTGCACATTATCCCTTGCGAGGATTCACACAACTCTTGAATATTTGGTAGAATGATTACTTCAATTTGCACTTTTACTTTCGTCGATGAGAGAAAGCCAATCTCTCGAGACGAGCGACTCGAATGTCGATTGGCTCCTGGAGTTCAATTGGAAGAGAGACAGAAATGCGTGGTTCCTTAAATTATTATAAGAGGTAGAGCAACATAAAAAATGTAACAGATCTGAACGACCCTAACAATAAGATAAAACAACTGATTCAAATAACAATATTAGAAAATTTTTAATTAAAAATTAAAAGCGACCTGTCATTTCGTTGACCCTCTTCCGTTCGTAACTAGCTGATTAAAGATCACTTACTTCTCTTTTACCTACAACCTAGCAACACCGACGATAAAGTTCTGATTTACAAATGCTTCATCTCTACAAAATGTACAAGCGGGGAAATGAACTTATCGCAACGAAAGGCTTAGTCGTAAAATCTAACTTGTGAACACTGTCGAAACAATTCGCTATTTCAGGTTTACAGAAAAATGGCAGCGATAAGTAACAAGTTTTAAAGTCTATTCTCATCGAAGACGACGAGATCAGTGGAATGAGTCAGGTTGTCAGACTCCTCGTTGTAAAAAAAAGATCAATCTCGGTTAAAAAACATTCGTTTCATCTCACATGCGTTTACAATAACACAATGAATATTGAGCTTTGTCATCGCACTTCTTTAATCAGATCATTTAGTTTAACTTTAAGAAGAGATTTCGATATTGAAACACTAAGAGCGTCGCATAATTAATCTTTAGTTTGGCACTTGCATTTTTCAACACGATTTTTTCATTTTGCTATTTGTCGCAGATTTATACGTAACGCATCAATATTTTATCCTTCTTCATTCCTTCCTGTTTTTCATATACTCATTTTTACATTCCTTCCTTCCCATTTTGATTTCCTTCAATACGCTGAAGTTTTCTTTACCCTTATGCCGTTTGCAGCTGATTTAATATTTCAAGGAAAATCATCATACCTGATCACACAATTAAAGTTTCTTACCTTTGAATTCTATTCCTATTCTAAACTGCCTTCATCGAACGATAATGTAGAATGTTACGAGTAAATAAAGAGTCTTGCAATTTCATTAAGGATGTATTGGCTATACAGTCAATCCCAAACGTTTATGTACCTTAGAAAAACGCATTTCCTATAATTAAAAAGAAATTAGACGTCGGAAGAATAATGCTAATAATAAATAGC